GGAAAGAGGCCTCCGGAGGGCCTCTGCAGCCCAGGGGAGGCCGTTTCCACCCGCCCGGAGGCTTGAGAAAAGCCTCCAGAGCCTAGGGAGGGCAAAAACGCCTCCCACAACATTGGTGCAGGAGGCTGAGTAGGCCATGGGAGGTTCGCGCACACAGGTGCATTGCATTATGGGTGTGGGCACACGGACAATTTCAGCATGCGAGGAGAAAAGGGTTAGCTATCACTGGTATAGGGTTCCCTGTTTGAGTAGGTGGTTGGGCTAGAAAATCTCCATGGTACCTTCCAACTCTGTTATTCATACCTTCAATCATTTGTGTAAGATGCAATAAAGTACTATTTAAAAAAAACAAAAATTGTAAATTAAAAACATATAGGATGATAATTCTGATGTCCTGTCTAAACCAGTGTTCCCCAATTTCTTCAGCTTTGCAGAATGGCAGAGGGGTGGGGAAAGGAATGGTTCTGCACGAGCAGCAGGCAAGCGCATGTGCAGCTCCATTTGCATAATCCGCGGGTACAAGCGCCCGCCACTTGCGCAAATGGAGCTGTGCACATGCGCACACTCACCCGCTGCTCACAGAAGTGGAGCTACGCACGCGTCACCTGACACCGGATCCGAATAGGCCACAACCCAATATTGGACCATGGCCCGGAGGTTGGGGACCCCTGGTCTAAACCATGTTCTATTACCAATGATTGAAGCAAAGATATTTTATCTCTGTAGATTTGCATTTAATGTACCAGCCTTAATCAGCGAACATAACATTAAAAAACAATATAATGGGATTATATAAAGCTTCACCCTCTCTCAAACTGGAAGATTTTCAATAGTAACCATTCTTTTTCACATTGTTATTAAAGGGAAAATCCTTTATTTTACCATAAAAAGGCAAATTTCATAATCCACCTTCATGACAGAACTACCATTCAATCTACATGATTTATACATTAATGCTTGGAGCTAAGATGTTGTTGGCTGCAAATTGCAGACTATTTTAAAAAAGAGAAGTTGTGAATGGCACTGCAGTGAATTATCAAATAAACCAGTGGTTCCCAAACTTGGCAACTTTAAGACTTGTGGACTTCAACTCCACAAGTCCACAAGTCTTAAAGTTGCCAAGTTTGGGAACCACTGAAATAAACCAAAGCACCTTCCCTACCCCCACATGCTCTCAAATGCTGAGGGAGTGTACCTGTTAAGAGTAGCCAGATAAAAATTCCACTAAATAATCTGAAGGAGCCACAAAGCACTCTTCCCAAACATGGAAAATTACAGATAAGGTGGCCTTGAACTGCCAGCATTATTGCCACTACACCTGAGTTCGTCTCACCAAACATAGCACCCTCACAGATTTGACACTTGTACACAATTTGAGAGAATCCATCTGCAAAAGTTAATTAATTAAAAAACATGATTCTAGTACTGGGAAAGATTTTTCTAAGCAGATTTTACTTAGCGCTATCATCCTTGAGGAAATTCAGTTTTCAGTACAATATATATACATATATGATTTATGATTTATAAGTGTATCATTCATTCCAAGTAATTAAGAATATCTTGAACAGTATTATCTTAACAGAGATTAATACAGATCTGTTCCAAACATTACTTTCCACTATACAATACAATACAATACAATACAATACAATAGCAGAGTTGGAAGGGACCTTGGAGGTCTTCTAGTCCAACCCCCTNTCCTGTATGGGGATGCGCTCCTGAAGCTTCGTAAGCCACATGACAGTGGCACGGTTAAAGTAAGAAGCCGAGGCCGCCGACTTAATAGCCCACGCTGTGGCGTTGAAGTTCTTCCGCAAGGTAAGCTCTGCACGCTTATCCTCCGGTTTCATCTTGTCCGCCGCATCGCCCGATACCACCGGGGAGGAGGAAACCAGGGCGGCCACAGGCTGTCAATTGTCGGCAGCTGAATGGCCTGAGCAAAGGTCTGTTCAATGTTATAATGCCGACGGTCAGTACTGCCGGGAGATGAAAAATTGGAAGGACGAGCCCACTGGTCCGTCAGCACCTCTAAAAACAAAGGAGG